CTGTGGTTGCCTGCACAAGATCAAGCCAGTTGAAAACAAGATGGAGATCCAGGGAGGCGGCTCAGCAGGTGAAGGAGCTTGCCATAAAGACTGATGATCTGAGATCGATCCCTAGAACGCACATGAAGGAAGGAGAGAACTGGCTCTCACAGATGTCCTATGACCTTCACATGTGCATCATGGCTTGTGCATGTATGTACCCCCATACCCCTACACACTAAATAAACAAACAAACAAATGAATAAATAAAATGTATAAAATAAAAACAAGGTAGAACACAGTAGAAGATACCCAATGTCACCTCTCACTCCACACACACACGTGCAAGAACAAGTACACACACATACATGTAGACACAAATACCATGGAGCCACCCACACACATGCAAAAAAAATTCTACACGTATACTAAATTTCAAACATAGGAAATCATGCATTTTGTTTCTTCCATATTTTATGTTATTTCAAAAGATGATAAAGGGAACCAGAAAGTTCAAGAATAGTTTTAAACCTTCAAGATGCTGTATCTTAATATATTTTTCTTAAATTAATTTCCATACAATTGTTTCTTCTTTCAAAGCAGTATTTTATAGATGAAAAATAGAATGAATGCTCAGAACAAGTGTCATCTTAGATTAGAACCAAAATTAAAAGGATACTTGTATTTCATTAATAATAAGTTCTATAATTCACAATTAAGCACAATAGAGATACAAAGTTAATGCCTCACTTTTTTTTAAAATATGAAAATCAGAAAAGGGAGATTTACTCAGTGTGGCCACATGGGCAAGAGGGGCAAAGAAATCCAATGACATCTTTCCTTATGTCCATCTTCTGGGTTCTAATGTAAGGGTAAGGTTTACATAGAAAGCAAAAACTATGCACAAGTAAACAGCCCAATGAGGTGTGGTCCCTGTCCACCACTGTCTCTCCTCCAAGTAAATCTATGTACGGCTTGGATAGAAAATCCATGCCCATGGAGAAATCATTGTATCAATGCTAGAAAATCTGCTTAGCAGCTAGCCTGGCACTCACAGCTGGGTTTTGATGTACACTATGTGAAGATGTGTCTTTGTCAAGGTGCCTTCTGATTGGTTTATTAAAGAGATGAATGACAAATAGCTAGGCAGGAAGAGGTTAGACAGGACTTCTGGGGACAGAGGACTCTGGGAAGAAGAAAAGCAGATTCGCCAGCCAGACGTTGAGGAAGCAGGATGGGCAATACAGGATAAAGGTAACCAAGCCATATAAAAGAATGCAGATTAAAAGATATAGGTAAACAGAGACAGCTAACCAGAGTTAGTGGGAGCTCAGGGACTCTGGACTGACAGCTGGGGAGCCTGCATGGGACTGAACTAGGCCCTCTGAATGAGAGTGACAATTGTGTGGCTTGATCTGTTTGTAGGGCCCCTGGCAGTGGGACCAGGACTTATCCTGCTGGGTACATGAACTGACTTTTTAGAGCCCATTCCCCTATGGTGTGATGCCTTGCTCAGCCTTGATGCAGGGGTGAGGGGTTTGGTCCTACCCCAACTTGGTATGCCAACCTGTGTTGACTCCCCAAGGGAAGCCTTACACCCTATGAGGATTGGATGGGGGTGGGGTGGGGGAGAGGGGGGTGAGAAGGGGAGTAGGGAAGGGAGGGGGAACTGTGGTTGGTATGTAAAATGAAAATAAATAAATAAAGATATAGGTTAATTTAAGTTACAAGAACTAGTTAGGAACAAGCCTAAGCTAAGGCCAAGCTTTCATAATTAATAAAAAGTGTCCATGTCATTTTTTATGAGCTAGCAGCCCAAAGAAAAACCTGTCTACAATTATTTTCTTCCTGGTGAGATTTCTATCCTTATGACAACATTATTTCAAATTTCAGGCTGAGATTTGAAGTCTCCAAGTCACTTCTCCCTCATCTCGTGACAGACAGAGGAAATGGTATACCTCCATGGAAAGTCTCCTGGACCTCTCTGGTCACTGGTTTTTCCTTGACAGATAATCAACTTGTCTCTGAATGCAGTGATTGATGATCATGAAACCAAATTTCAACTTGACCCATTCTCATTTTCAACACGAGAAAGTCAGTTTCATCCATTTTCCAACAGACTTCATACAAGTGACAAGTATGAAGAATTATCACAGTGTAAGCCATACAACCAAGGTGTGTGCCTTGCTTTCATTCCACGTCCTTGTCAGGACTTGTATAAACTAGTCTAGAGGGGATGGGACAACATGGCCTTGGTGATTAGTGCTGTCCCAATGGCAGTTCATCAGACCCATATGACACAAAGACAGAGGTATGATCACTCAGAAATTGCCAAAAGAAAAAAAAAAAAAGGCATTTCAGCCTGACAAGATTGCCCTGAGCATTTTGGCAGTGTGGTTTTTGGAAGAGAATGGCAGCATAGTTCAGGCCCCTTTTCTGGACAATCTGTGGTCATGAACACATTATCCATTGTCATCAGCAAATGTGCTCACAGTTAAGTAGTCTCACTTTAAAGCAGGGGATTAAACCAAACATTGAGAACAAAGTCAACAGAGCATACAAACCTAAGAAGGAGATGGGACTGATAAAGACAATTGGACAAATATCAACCGATAGTCAAAAGACTGAGATCTCTTGCAGATGGTCATTGTCACAGAAAATCACAGCTGTTAAAACATGCTTTACTTCCCCTCTGCCATCCTATACTGAAACATGGTACCTGATGTACAACCTGATAACTAAAGAGAATAACCCGAACACAAGGCTGGGAATGAGGGAGCAATGTTATATCCATATTGCAGTACTTTCAATACAAATGGAGACAAAGTAAGAAATAACTAAGCACCCTGCCTCTCTCTACATCTTCAGGCTTCCTGTATGACTAAAAGGATCATAGAAACATTAGTCCAGACTATGGCCTAAATTCAAAGGATGATGCTTTAACTGCTGTACACCTGAATGACTGATAGATACCTCGATGAATTATGTGGCTCTGCCAGTGCCAATTTTGTTGCCCATGAATCTGTTGTCCACTGTCCTCTCTACCCCCAGAGCCCTTTTCTCAAACCTTTTGGCCTTTATTATATTAGCTAATAGTTTGGTAGCCCTGCTGAACTCACAGATGTCAATCTTTGTCTCCGTATTTATTTTTCTATCCACTTCCTCTTCACATCCCCTTGCATTTGTTTGGACGACGGTCTTGTATACCATTCTGAGCTAATACTATTTGTCAAGACTCTGCATTACTCATTCTTGGAGGTAACGTCACTCCCTCCCATGCTCACATGGGTTTTCATTCCCAGGTTTTCCAGCCCTCATCCTTGCTCACCCTAATCTCCTCTGTCCATTTATAGGGTTTTTCTTCCTGCCTCTAGAAATACAGATTAGACCCCATCTTACGAGTGAAATCAAAATTCAACCTGCCAAAGTGAAACCATGTCAAAGTAACACATACTCCACGCAGATGGAAAGGGTTGGGATTAACATCTCCACTTCCGATTTTTCTTACAGCATTCAACCATTTGTTTTTGCTCTCTGGCCTCTTTTTGATAAACTAAACTGAAAGCAACATGCAGGAGGGCTGAGACATCTAAAGTGACCGAAGAGTCCTTACAGAGTTACAAAACAAAATATCTTCTAGCTAGAGCATTTAATGTCTTTAGTCTGTGTGATTGCATGCTCTTTAGAAATGGGGGCTCCAGGGGAGGGAAAGTCATTACTCTGTGCAGTAAAAAAGATTGTTTTCTGTTGGGAAGAGATTTGGAACTACTTATCAGTCTTGCTTACAGCTAATGTTGAAGAGGCAGGGAGCAGTTTTACAGCATCCTTTCTGCTTTGCCCTTCACGGCTCTCATGCAAATCAGAACATTCTGCAGCCACATGGACCTTGCCCCTACTCTCAGCCAAGGGTGTTAGGTCTTTGCTTTTGTGGCCACCACAGTAAAGTGCATCCTTTTTCTTTGATTCACAGATGCACACTCATTTGCTTTAAGCCATGACACATTTCAAAGTAACAAAACCATTCCTGGTTTAAGCTGATATTTGAAATTTATTCTGAAAGTAGGGCTTAGGTGACCAGTACTTGACCCCTCTGCTGTCATTACATCTTTCCAGGAAGGAAAAAAAAAACTTTCGTATTTGGGTTGGTTCATAGATATTTAGCAGAATACTCTCTCTCTGTCTCTCTCTCTGTTTATGTATATATATATATTATGTGTGTGTATTATGTATCTATGCATGCTTTATATAGACAGCATCATTAGATTCTTTGTTAAAGACTGCCATTTTGTGTATTTTTAGTTGTTAATTTGGTAGCCATGTTGATTTTCTTCTGATGATCATTTTCCTGCAATAAGGAAAAACTGTTGTGGATGGGGTGATTTGAGTCTCAAGTTTGCTGCTCTGCCTGCCTTGAACAAAGGGATTACAGCCATCTGCACAATGCTTATGCCAGTATTGAGTGACTTGAATACTCCATGATGCTTTGAGATGACTGTGTAAGGAACTATAGCTAATTACCCTGGCTCCAGATCCAGTCAGGGATGTTTAAAACAGTTTCTACTAGACTTTTTGCTATTACAAACCTCAGTGAAATTTAGAGGATTCTAACAACCATTTCCTCTTTGGCTGAGGGGGACTTCCCTCTGGTGGTCTAGAAGAGGACCTGCTGTTATCAGTTCTAAATGGCAAGATTGTCCTTGGTCAAAATCAGTGGCTGTGATTAGTTCAAATACTTGAATTACATGAGCAAATGGTTCAGGCTCACCAGTCAGTTGCTGGTGGACACTCTCCTGTGATGTTCCAATATCAGCCCAGCCAAAGTTTCTCTCCAGTGTTTTCCCTTACTTTTAGTAGTTATGGCTGAGTTTGTAATCCAAAGAAAGAAATAACAGGAAGTTGTGGCTGTGGTGCCAGCAGAGGGGATACAATGGCAGTGGCAGCAGCCCCCCCCCCCCCCCCCCCCCCCCCCCCCGCCCCCGAGGCAGTCAAGCTGCAGGACTGCGAAAGCAGCAGAGCGGCCAGCTGCAAAACAGCTGAAGAAGCAAGAGAAGAGCATCTGGGGCAAGAAAGGAATGAAACAGAAGGGCAGAAAGGAAAACAGGACAAGTGAGGATGGAGAGCGGACGCTGAAGAAGGATAGAAGTCTGTAATGGAGCCAGAGAAAAGAAACTGCAGGTCCCAGTCTCCAGAAGGTCTAAAAGGTCAGTAGGTTTGCAGCACCACAGGGCTCAGGTTCTGGGCTGAGCTATAATGGTGGCTGCTGCCTGGGCTCGGGATCCTGAGAGCCAAGGCTGGTGCAGAGTGTACCACTTGTAGGACAAAGGGTCCTAGTAGGAGAAGCCGCAGAAGGGATGGCGCCCTAGAGGGAGCTCCTCCTTGCTGTGGCTCCTGTCGGCCTATCTGGCTTGTCTGCCTAGATGCCATTTCCAAGCTGCCAAACAAAAGCTGCCAGAGACCGGCCCTTAAAGTGCTTGAGCCCTGAGTTCTGCCTATAACAAAAGAACATTCAGGCAGCTGGTGGGTGGCACGCTGAGTCTCTCCAGAGTTCTGTGTCATGCTTAGTGAACAGACACTTTCATGGAGTATAATCATACCTAAAGCATTATAATGAGTGCATCCATTAGCAAAATAGGTCAAAGAGGATTTTTCCAATCTTCTACACTCCTAGCACTCTTATATTTAATTTTGTGTAAGTGAATTTTTTTCTTTAAGCCAATTAACTACTCCCCCTCAAATACGTAATGCCCCACTCTGTGTCAATTGATACACTCATGGTTGGACAGTAACCATATTTTTATAAAGCAACATTGTTTGTCATAGTAGACTACTGATGGCATTAAAGTATTCTAAAGATATTCTTTCCTTGAGGGGAAACCTAACCTCAGCAGGGGTCCGTGTAAAATGTCACTCCATTTTTTAAATACGATAGCAGATACATTAATAAGACAAATGGTCCAGAGGTGGCAAGTTCATAACCAGAACTAACATCCAAGTGTGCAGGTACATGATGGTCATTGAAATACAATGTTCATTCATAACCAGAACTAACCTCTGAGTGTGCGGGTCCACAATGGCCATCGGAACACAATGTTCATTCATTGTCCAGTCTAATAGACTTGTTTGTTGGGCCTAGGAAAATGGGACTTTGTTTTTCTTTTCCCAAACAGACAGGCCTTAGAAGTTTGTGGTTGCTCTACATCCCTCTGAAGAGTTTAGAGGGCAAGCTCTGTGGCTATCCATCTTAGTGCAAATTGTTCAAGCTAACTTTGTTTCTTCATTACCTTAATTTCTCTCTTTTGAAAAAAAAGATTTTTAAAATTTTTTTTGTATGAGTTTCTTTTCTAGTTTTTTTAAATAATAGATTTGTTTCATGCAATTTCTTCTGATTATGGGCTTTCTCTCCCCCAACTTTTCCCAGATCCTCCCCACCTCCCCGAATCCACATCCTTTCTGTCCCTCCTTAGAAAACAAACAGGCATCAAACAAACTGGGAACTAGGACAAAGCAACCGAACAGAAGAAAAAGAGCCAAAGAAAAAGCACAAGAAACACATATAGATGCAGAGACACACATGTTTGTACACCCCTTAAAAACAAAACTGGAAGTCAGAGAAGCTGTAGTTACACAAAAACAAAACAAACAAACAAATAAAAATCCTGACAAAAGATTATGAGACAAAGAATACCCAAGAATGCCATTGAATTTGTCTTGTGTTGGCCATCTATTGCTGGACATGAAGGCTGCCCTTAAGAGTAGGTTGTAACCTGGGTAAGACTCTAATTGGAGGGAGCTAATTTTTCAATTGCAAGTGGTTATCAGTTGGAGATAGATTCTGGATTAGAGATGTGTCCACTTCTCTCAGCGCTGGGACCTCATGTGGTGTGGACCTGTGTATGGTGATATTTTATTTGTGCTGAAATGTGATTTTATTTGTTTGTTAATAAAGTTGCCTGGGGATCAGACCTAAGAGCGAGCCATTAAGCAGAAGTCTGGTAGTGGTAGCACACGCTCTTAATCCGATCACATGGCAGGCAGAATCTTGTGTGTTCAAGGACACAGCCAGCATGGTGACACACGCCTTTAATCTCCGTACCAACCATAGAGACCTGGAGGTCTGTATAGACAGACAGTGATGAGGAAGGCATGTGGTTAGGTTTATAGCCAATGAGAAGGCAGAACACAAAGGCAATTAAAAAGACAGGACACAGGAAGAAGGTCTGTAGCTAGAGTTTTCCTGCCTGGCCCACAGTCAGGTTAAATCTCTGCCACCTGCCAGTCCCACAACCGCTCAGACCCGACCAAGTAAACACAGAGACTTATATTGGTTTCAAACTGTATGGCTGTGGCAGGCTTCTTCCTAACTGTTCTTACAGCTTAAATTAATCCATTTCTATTAATCTATACCTTGCCACGTGGCTTGTGGCTTACCGGTACTTTACATCTTCCTTGTCCTGATGGCGGCTGGCAGTGTCTCCTCACCCAGCTTCCTGTTCTCTCAATTCTCCTCTCTGTTAGTCCCGCCTATACTTCCTGCCTGGCCACTGACCAATCAGTGATTTATTCATTGACCAATCAGCAACACATTTGACATACAGACCATCCCACAGCAAAGGTCTCTCTCTCAGGGGAAGGACAGCAGCTAGTGGTAAGATAAGGTAGTCTTAGCTCTTGGCTACTGCTCGGTCTCTGGGCTTTTAACCCTTCATTTGGCTTTGTGTTTCTTCTTTAATAAGACTATTTAGAATTCCATCTACACCTGTGCAGTCCCTGTGCATGCTGCCTCAGTCTCTCTGAGTTCATATGTCTTTTGGTTAGAAGACCTTGTTTCCTTGATGTCCTCCATCCACTCTGGCTCTTATGTTCTTTCTAATTCTTCTTCTACAGGGTTCCCTGAGCCCTAAGGGGAGGAATTTGATGGCAACACCCCATTTAGGGCTGAGCATTCCAAGGTATCACTCTCTCTGCACATTGTCCAGCAGACCCAGGATCTCTGTATTTGTTTCCATCTATTGCAGAAGGAAGCTTCTCTGATAATGGACTGAGCAAGACACTGATCTACAAGTGTAGTAGAATGCTGTTAGAAGTCATTTTATGGCTATATTCCTTTAGTAGTATAGTCATATTTGGTTTTCTCCTAGGTCCCTGGCCTATCTGGTCTCAGGTTCTAGGCTACCAAAGCAGTGTTGGAGATGGGTCCCATCTCATGGAGTGGGCCTTAAATCCAGTCTGTATTGGTTGGCTACCCCCAAAAGTTTTATATCACTATTTCAAGGCAGGTCATCATTGTAGGTCAAATTGATGTAGGTTACATCAATTTCTTTAGAATTTTTTGAGAAGCATTAATTACTGAGAATAAAGATTTTAGAGTGTAACTCGATAGAGTGTAACTAGATGTAACTATTTTCCTGTTCTTTATAGCTAAGATGGAATAGTTTTAGCAGTCCTAAAGTTAAATTCTACTAAAGCTATGACTGTGGACCTAAGATTCAAACTCAGGTGGTCTCTATGCCTTTATTATGTTGATCTGTAACAAATGTCACTCTTGTTCAAAGTCACTATACACTGAAGAATTCATACCCATTTTTCTGGTCATGACTTTCTAAAGTATTTGTTAGCCCAACACATGGGCTGAGCACTGATTATAAGACAATAGCAATGTTGTGAGCTGTGCATTTGAAAGTGACTGAATAAGAACCCACTTGCATGGAACTTGTTGTTGATAAAGGAAACATGCTAACAGAGCACTAGGGAAGGATGCTCTTCCTGGGGGAAGGTTAAGTCAACAGAGAGCAGTGAAAATAGTCAGCATGGAATTAGCACTGTGCCTTTGCCTGGGGCTATATGACTGGACTCCTAAAAGATCAAATTTACAGTATTCACTTATCTATTTGATATTTTTAAGTTGGAAGCACCATGTTTAAAATAGTCATGTGATAACCTTTGTTCTCCTCTGGTGTTTCTCATGTTTGTCCATGGCACCTTAAACTACCAACTCACCAACACAGAAGTATCTGAGATGTCTTCCAGCCCTTCACTTGACATCTCTGGGGTCTCTAAGTTACATTACTTGCAAACATCTGTTCTCCTTTCTACCCAGGCTCCTGCTTTGTTAGTACAGTTTGAAAAACTGGTTTTTAGTATCTTTTGAGGCAGGCTAGGTTTCCTTTTCCCCCAGTCCACTATATTTTTGTAGGAAGCAACTTTCTAGAATACTTATCCAACCATATACCATCTCACCTAATCTGCCTTTATGTACTCTGCTCCTACACTAGCTGATGCTTCTGTGTATGCACATACTTGTAACACACACACACACACACACACACACACACACACACACACACACACGTGGAAAGAGCTATGTTGAACTTCTTCCAGTTACTCTGATACAGATGGACTAGAACTTGGTGGCCTGATTTTAAATGCTAGCACTGCAGTGGTTAGCTGTGGTGCTGCAGGATAGTTAATGCACTGCACTAAGGCTGTGTGTGAGGATGACGTGGGAGGGGGGAAGCTAGGTCATTTTCAAAATTCCTGACACTACTTTAGCATTTAGCAAATATTAATGTCATTATTTGTTTTCTTCCCCCATGTTCCTGTAAATAAGCAGTCCTGACAGCTTGAACGACTCAAGAACACCCAGCATCAGTATTAATTGATGCACTAAGTGCTCAGATAACAAACAGTGTGTGAAGTATCAGCTCTGGGAAGCTTTCCCTGGAAGAACCTTACAAAGTTCTTCCAGAGTGCCTCAATTATATCTGAGAGGGGTGTAGTTACTTGCTGCCTACTTCTTAGCACTTGGGGGATTACTTTTTGCTCATTACATCCTGCAAAACCTGGTAAATTCTCATTAAGCACTTGTTGAACGAGTGATACTGACCAGTTTAAGGAGACAACTCATTGGATTAGCAGCTGTATACTTACTTGTAATAGGATGTTTCCTGTCCCAGCCACCTGTTCCCAAATACCCAGCAGCTGCTCCCCAAAGTACCACACAGAGGCTTATATTAATTATAAATGCTTGGCTGATAGTTCTGGCTTATTGCTAACTAGCTCTTACACTTAAATTAACTCATAATTCCTATCTATGTTTAGTCACATGGCTTGGTACCTTTTCTCAGGACGGCATTCTAATCTTGCTTCTCTGTGTTTGCCAGCGACTCTCTGACTCTCTGACTTCCCAGAATTCTCCCAGCCT